TAATGTCGTGTAGGCTCGGCCCCAGAATACGCAGTTTATGTTGATCAATCTATATCGACATGATATACCGATATACATTTCATCTAATTATCCAATCAGATTAAAACCCCTATGTCGCTATATTCCTATATCGATATTCTAGAAACTTGCGTACGTACCATATTTTATGGTTTGTTCAAAGAGAGATATTTGCAAAGAAAAAAAAATTACATGAAATCAGCACATCGACATCAAATATGAATATTTGCAAAAAAGTAATCTTGGCTGATAACTAAAAAAAAATTTGCTAAGCCGATTTTTCGGCCCGGTCAGTCGATTTTTAAAAAAATCGGTTTGTCGATTTTACAAGGCTATGTAAATATCGGAAATTGCCGTAAGTAGACATTCATCAAACCTATTATACCGTTATGAATACAATACAATGTCTTTTTTTATTTGCTTCGATAAACTTCTGACCGGCCAGGATCACTAACTTCGCCTTCATACTATAAGTCTTATGCGTCAAGAAGCCTTAAGAGAAGAGGCCATAAAAAGTATGGCTAAACGGCCTGGCTATGGCAAGTTCGGACGACAGACTCAACTTCTTACTAATTACTTTGAAGTTAAAAAGGTATTTCATAATTTCTCTCCGTATGTCCGGTTCACTTATTCTTCTTTGTTATCTTACGAATTCACTTACTGGTTTAGATCACAAACGTAGCGCATTTTGAAAAATATGAGATTATAATGAAATTGCAGCCAAGGTCCGACGGCCGAAAAGTTACCAGGCAACCGAAACAACTTCCAACAAATGTCCAACGTGCTATATTTCAACAATTAGAAAAGCAAGAGCGTAACAGTTGGTTCAAAGGTGTTGGTGTCGTTTTTGATGGTACTTTGATATTTTTTTTTAATAGAATTAGTCCTATAATATTGAAATTCTTCGTAAGTCATTGTTCACAATTTATTTGAACGCGATTCGTCTCATTTTTTTTTTCATCTATGCATAGGGAACACGACAATATATTCTACTGGTCTCTTAAATTTAAAGTCTGATCCTGGGACAACATCGGTGAGATGTACGATAAATTACGCGATTTTCACTTTATATTGGATGTCAATTACTAATATAAGTAGCTGTTCGAATGTTATTTTATTATTGTCACGTCTATAGGTCACTTTAAAAGATGATCAAGATTTCAAAGGCAATCCTACTGAATTTAAAGTTGAAGTTAAAAGGATCGATAAAATTGACATAGGCGAATTAAAAAAATTTCTTGAAGGAAAAGAAATGAAATGGGAATATTTTGATTTAGGTATGATTATAAAATAATAATTTCATGCTTCTACTATTAATTTGTTAGTTAATTAATTATCTCATTTGGCGGTTTTATAAAAATTGCAGCCGGTCTTAGAGGACTTAATGCTTTAATACATCATATGCCATCAATGAAATATACTCAATTTGGTGAATCCACGTATTTACCTTCGACGCGTAAATCTTTGGGTGGTGGCGTAGAATTATGGATGGGCTGGTTTGAAAGCGTAAGGCCCGGACAAGGTATATTCATTTTAGTCATTAATAACGTTAATATGATTTTTTTGTACATTATTGAACTTATTGTCTATATTTTAACTGAAACAGATAGCTATTTTGTTAATGTTAATACTACATATACCGTTTTTTACGAGCCGGGGCCACTGCATTATCTAATTATGAAATATCTTAAATTAGACAATATTCCGGAACGACTCAATCAACAACAACAAGATAAAGTTTCCGAACTTGTCCGAGGATTGCAATTCAAAGCTATTCATCGCCCTAAAGTCAGTACACGATTC